AAAAAAATTAATCTGGTTAAAAAAACCTAATATAGTAAAAAATGAAATAATCCAGTAAAAAAATTAAGGAAGGTCCAAGGGCAAAATAATTTGCTGTTGAGGATAATAGTACTGCTGTGGTTTCTCAGTTCACAACCAGCCTGTTAAAATTTCTTTTTCAGTGTGATGGAGAGAGGCTGCCTGAAAGTTTTTGTGAGTCTGATAAAAGAGTCGGGATCTCCTTTTTGGGGCAGATGAATTCCTTTGCTCTGCGGTGCTCAGGGGGCAGAGACAACATTCTGGTGCTCAAAGATTTAAGAACAAATGTTTTTATTCTTAGCTCTGGCTACCCTAAAAGTTTGGAAGGGGGGAATCCGATAAGAACAACAAAAAAAAATCCTTTAAGAAACAGGACAAAAAGAATTCCCAAGTAAACTACCTGAAATTTATTCAAGCAGACAGCAACGTGATCTTAAACATTCACTTTGCATTAATCAACTTTGCCTCAGATAAAATGCTGGCAGATGGTAGCTATTCATTTTAAAAGTGACACGTTTTCTTTACGTTTTTGTGTGGAAACCCCCACATGCACTCTTCCCTCCAAAAACTTAACTTGGTTAATTTGTCCAACATGCCTTTTTTTTTTTTTTTTTCTTCTTGTTCCCCTAAATACACTCCCATTATTAGGCAATTTCACAATTTGGATAGTTAAAAGAGGCTTTAGATGAGTTTAAATGCAGGCTCCCTCCTTTGAAGTCTGGGGAGGAATATGCAGGAGCTCAAATTTGGCAGAAGAAAGATGGGGATGATGAAGACGATGCGGGGAGAGGTGCAGGGCCAGGAAGGACCCTGGTTGGGACTGCTGGGTGATCTATCCAAAGTGCTAATGTGAAATGGCAGTTGTCTGTTTGATGTGTAAAAGATTTGCTGAAATTCCAGCAAAATATTCTGATGAGACAAGGAAAGAACAGTCTGGGTTTTCAAACCCTAGCATGTGTTTTCCTTTATGTTCTCAAACGCCGGGTGAAATCCTTATTTTTCTTTCTAAAATGAATTTTATGAATCACCTGGAGAATTGATATTTACGTTGCTGGCAGTAAAATGTAATGAAATTGTGCATTATGATTCAGTATTTCTGCACTTAGGATTTTAATGAGGATTTTATCTGTCCTTTTAAATGGTTGCTGTGTATATATTTTATTTCTAGATTAGTTATGGATTACATTTCTATTTCCAAATAACAAACATATACACTACTATATTATAAAGAATATGATACTTTCCACAATTCATTGTCATTCCAGCCCATAACACTAATTTGATCTTCCAAAGGGAAAGTAAAAAAAAGCTTTGGTTTGCATCTAATAAAGGGGAAAATATTGATTTTTTTATTTATTTTTTTACTGCATTGCTGCTTTTTCTCCTAATCTTAGTTTGTTTTTTTTTCCTCAGCAAATAAGTAAATAATACAAATTTTGTCAGATGCTTGGTTTGCACATGGTTTGGATTTATAGCTCTGTATTATTGTATGTATTTGTATATATTGTATATTTGTATTTGTTTTCTTAGTGAGTACTCACAGCTTACCTGGGTTTTTATATGTTTATATATATATTTATATATAAAAATTATTTTTTTTTTTTAGTCCCCTTCCAACCCAAGCCATCCTGGGATTCTATTTCCCCATCTGCTTTTTTATGTCAGCTCTGGACAGTTGACATCTGTAGATGTCTGTGAGTATCAGTGCGGATTTTGAAGGTGCTTTCCAGGTCCATGTTCACTCTAAAAAATGTACCCAAAGATGTTTTCTGGTTTTATCTTCTTGATTCCTGTGGGATTACAAATGTGTACAGATTTATAATGTGCATGTGACTGAAGCCACACATCTTGGTAGGGCTGTGGATGGGTAGTGGAGGGAAATGATGCTCCTGGGCCTAATTCCACACAGCACATTATTTCAGTGTTTTTTTCTTCAGACAAGGTGTAGTCTGGTTTTTTAAGGGCTGAATGCCCATAAGGTGAGGTTGTAGTACATTAAATGCTCTCTAGGATCATCATGTCCTGGTGTAGTTTCATACAAGTTCATAATCTTGGAGACCACTCTGGAGTGAGGGAGTCCTGCTGGGTGAGGGTGGCTGTGAGATGGATGGTTGCCTCATAAATGCTATTGTGTATCAAACAGAAATGCTAATCTAAACTGACCCATAAAACACTTAATTCTGAGGGTTATGGCATAGTTTCTTCCTTAAACATGCAGCACATACCTAGGCAGGAGTTTTATTACAATCTCTATGCCGAATCATGGTGCAATGAAATATGTTTAATTTAAGATGGACTTCTTACTCCCCTAAACCACAGTTTGATCCATTTATTTCATCCTCCTCTTGCCTTTTATACTGTTCAGTCTGAGTATTTTGGGGTGATACCTTTAACTGGTAGGTTTTGAGTCGTTGTGGTGATGAATTTAACTTCCCTTCAAAAAAAAAAACGTGAATACATAAATTATGTTTAATAATTTGAATATCTTTGATGAATACAAAGCAACTAAAAGGAGGCGGTTTTTGTTGATCATTCTATAATGAGGATTTCTGCCATCTCCTTATTCCCTTGGACAGTATTTTTCCTTTCTTGCCTTTGTCCTTTGTCCCTGTCTTTTCCTCCCTTCCTCCTGCACATCTCCTCTGATGGTCCAGTGGACACAGTCATTTTAAAGAATGCTTTCCATTTCAGAGCACTTACTGGGTTTATTGTTTATGTTTTTATAGCCTTGCCTACTTATCATTTTTTGTTTCAGCTCTCTTAATTTACATTTTACTTGTTGCACACTTGAACTTCTGTTTCTGCCCAGTTGCAGCTTGAAGAAAGAATGAGGGAAACAGCAGTGGACACAACATCAAAAGCAAATATGTGATTTTCGTTTTGCAGTATTACTGGAGGAATTTATTCCTGTTATCAGTATTATTTCTAATAATTATAAGAGGAAGAATGTATTCAGAGTGGGGCAGATGTTTCTCTCACACCATCTTACCTGATAGACCTGCTTCAGGGCTTTAAACTAGTGATTTATCAAATGGTTTAAGAAGAAAAGGTGTAAGTTATTATAGGTAAAACAATAGAACATTTACTTCAAGTTTAGTTTTTCTTGCAGTTCATGGTATTCCTAGTGACTTTTGTTAATGTGTTTTCTTTATGTGCAAATACTTTTTAACATAGCATACTCAAAATTATGTATATCTGTTTGGACTGTAGAAGAATCTTCATGTAATTAAGTATTGTGTAGTAACATGAAGAAATTTTTGAACACATAATTCTATGTATGTTTGTTATATATGGAAGAATTAAAAAAATTGAAGGGGAGTAATTTGAGAACATCTGCAATTTCTTATTTATGTAAGAGAATATCCCATTTTTAATTAAAGACCGAATTTAAGAATGATAAATGGGACCATTATCTAGTAACAGTTAGTTTGCATTTTTTTCCCAGTTATCACGCATAGCAACATCTCTGTGTTTAAACCTCGAGGAAGAGAATTATTTTAAATGATTTTAATGCAGTTATTTCCTGGTAATCAATTTTATCAAAAACGTAACAGCTCAGAATTTTATATTTTAAATTAATTTGGAGAAATAGTGCTAAAAGATGCTGAAACTATGCAAGAAGGGGAAGTGAATTTTGGTGGACAGTTGTAACAATGGCGTTATCTTTTATTTTGTTTTATTTTGAGAGTAATGATTCCTAAATTAAGATGAGGAGATTAGATGGAGAATTTCTTTACTATAGCTATACTGTAATAAATCTAGAGGAGCCAAAATTAAATGTAATTTCTGGAGTAGGGACTTGGTTACAGAATCTTTATCTCTGCCTACTCTAGACAGTTGTGTTGCCATCTTCTCAAGGTAGAATCTGGTTTGCAGTAGAACTGACTTTGTGAGGTTCAGTACTGGTCTTGCAGAGGGTCTTGTGGCTCCAGCCTGGTCTGGAATCAGTTTTCAGTGGTTTCTGTGGCTGTTGAAGCATTCAGGCCTGAAGTGCTTTAAACACAGGTCTCAGGTCTTGCCCAAAAAGGCAGAAGCTCTCTAGGCAGAGGTGGTAGGAAGGATTGTGAGAAAAGAAAAATTTCAAGAAAAGACTTTGGAAAACCAGAGTGTAAATTATTCAAAATTGCACCAAGAGTTAGAAGTGATAAAACCTACATTTTCTAGACAGTGATTTCACCTTGAGTTAATCCTCATTCTGTTATAAATAGACCAAAAAATACTTTGATATAATTTTACATATCAACACAGAAAAAGAGCGGTAGATTTTAAGCCTGGACTCATAGAATCACTGAGGTTGGAAAAGACCTCTAAGAACATCAAATCCAACCATTAACCATGTAATGCTGTAATGAGTGGAATATAAATTCAGCACTGAAAGTCAGCATCTGTACTTTTAAAAATACTAATTTCCAATGCTAACAGCTGCATGGAAGGTCGTTGACACTGCGGAGTGCGTGGGGTCTCTGGGGCTCAGCGTGTTTGAAGTCAATATTTATGGTGCCTCTGTACCTCCTGTCATTAGCAGGAGGTTTTCAAGGGACTGTTCCTAGATTATATTTTGCACATGGCTCTTGTTTTCCTAGATACTGATTGGAAAAAAAATGAAGGATATAATAGTTTTCCTGTCCGTTGATGGGTGATGAGACCAACATGTTCAGGCCACGGGTGGAATCGGGGTGAATGAATTGGTGGCAGGGAGGGAGTTGGAGATGCGTGTGTGCTTCCTGCATTTTTAAGGAGTATAAGGGATATTTCAGCTGTTGAGATGAAGCTCAGCAGCTGCTCTGCAAACTCCTAATGGAACAGGGGCCTGAGTTGTTTTATCTTGAGTGTTTGTCTCTGACCTCAGATGCTTCTGGGGCTCTGCAGTTCTCTAAAATGGTAGTCCTTGAATTACAGGATTGATATACAGTAATAAAAAGAACGGTTTTTATTGGATTAGAAGGGAGCAGGAGGTAATATTGTTGCCTCTTAATTGCTAGGTACACACCAAGACTGTGAATGATGAAGAGGAAGGTAGAAAAGCTGTGTTCACCAGGCAGATGCTTTGCTGTGGAGGAAGACTTTGCAGCCATGCTCTGACTTGTTACAGCATCACTGTGGTATTGGCCTTCCCATTATCTCTTCCGTTCACTTTTCCACGGTGTGTTTTGATCCGTCCATGTTTTATTTTAATTTTATTTAAATCTTATTTTATATTTTTATTTTGCCTCCCATCATGTGGCTTAAAACTGTAACTTCATTAACTCTTGCGTATAACATCTCTAATTTTGTCTTGAAAATGCAGGGGGGTGTTTACTGTGAGCAGTAGAGTATTTAAGGTAGAATATTTCATGTTTCTGCAGATTGCCAGTATTACATGCCAGAGCAGCCTTCTGACCATGAAGCCCAACCACACTTGTTCTATTAGCTGCACTTCAGAAGTATTTGTTTAGTTTTTTCCTCAGATGGATAACCAATATGGAACATTCTGTCCACAGAAGTCTTATTAAAGAGGTTAGTGCATCCTGCTAATTAGGAAAAACTAATTAGGCAGATTGTTGAGCCTGTAACCAGAATTTTATATTTTAATGGATTTTGAAATACAGTGTACTCCCTTCTCCTATTGTAAAACACATTTTTTTCTTTCAAATGTCTAGAAAAAATCTTTTTGAGGAAATTATGCACTCAGAATAAGAAAGCTGTAGCATTTTAATTTATGAATTTATTAAATAAACTGTAGAAGAATATATGCTGTAAAATTGGTGAAACCATTAATTCATACCAGCCTCTTATTGTGGCAGTCAGAATTGTTTGGTTACCTTCCCGTTGGTAGGTTTCAAGTTTAACTGCCCCAAAGAGGACTTGGATTAAGTTCATATGAAGAAACAATGTAATTTGTGGCTGCGTTAAAATTAGATGTAGATGGTACAGAACTCACAAATTACTCTTTGGCTACTTCAAACTAAAATTCATTGACCTCTGTTTCCCTGAGTCTTGGGAAGTTTATCATGTTTAAAGCTGGATCCAACCCATTTTTAAGTGTTCTTGTAGTGCTGTGAGAGACTTTTGGTCTGGAAGCTGAAAAATAAGCCCGCTCTCAGCTGTGGGGTGACCTGGGAGCAAAACCATTGGGATTGGTTGGGTTTACATGGTTCACATCTTAATTCCTGGTTTACAAGGTGCCATGTGGAAAGCACGGGATGTTTGTGGCTGGGGAGAAAAAGTCAGATTTGAGATGCACTTAAAATACATGTATTTAAATGGGTTTCTACTTAACGTCTACTTTTGAACTCTTTTTCAACTGTGCCCTGCCACAAACTTTAATTAGTCTTAACCTTTTTTTCAGGCTTGTCATTCTGCATTTTGCAAAATGCTTTGGCTCGTGGAGAAGCTGCGTAGCCGGGGGGGGCCCTGGGCAGTGACCTGCAGTCTGTCTCAGGACCATCCTCTGAGACGTAATTCAAGGTACAGATGCTGGGATTGGTGAGACGAGGTTGGCGGCCATCTGGAAGGTGGCCATCTGCTCCTTCCTGCAGGAGCAGAGTGCCATGCTTTTGGGGGGTCCCTGCCCCTGCTTGTCACATCCTGAGTCAAGACGATTCAGGATTGAGTCTTTGAAGCCTGATTTGGGAGTATTGGCCGGCCAAGCGCTTGGCACTTAGGGATCTGAGGGGCTAGAAAGGGAAAAACAAGTACTTGTAGATGAGTGAGATTTAGAAATGGGCTGTGTGAAAGGACTTCAGCGAAGCGCTGAAGGTTTAAGGTCGTGTAGCTCAGGTCTAGAAATGTGGAAGAAGAAACCAGGGAGCAAAGCGAAGTGCAGCTTGCTGTGCTGATAGAAAACTGATGGAAATGCCCTTTTGGAGCATGGAGCTTGCTGATTATTTTGCTAATGCATCAGGAAATATGAAGAGTCTGTACAACATGAAAGCAGAACTATGAGTACAGGGACTGGAGGATGGAACAATTGTGTCCCCTTAAATGAAAGCCTTCCTCCTTCCAGTCCAAGGAGGCTGGAAAGGAAGACAAAAATATTGCAAGACTTGTTTTTGTGGTGTCACCCTCTGCCACCACCAGACCTCCTATATTTGCTGGAGTGTCAGCTCTGGCTTTGGTGAGTCAGATTTGTGTTCAGCATCTGTGGTGACCTGTAGATTCACACCCTTCCAACGCTCCTGCAGTTTAGTCTTCAGCCTGAAATCTGGGGCTATTATCCACCAGACGGGTCTAGGTAGTCAGCATGATGTCATGTCTCTTCAGCAGTTTATGGAACAGGGCTGAAATTTATGCCAATAAATATTTTAAATTGTTTTTGTTTGGCTTCTTGAGGAGAAGAATTTCTATAGGTGAGAGGTTATTTTGCAAGCAGCCCCACTGTATGATAGATCACATGGATGGTTTCAGTACATGGGAAACTTGAATCCCTTCAGTGTCATAGGTTGGAATTGTTACAGGCACTTAACAGCTTTACAGGTTCTTGTTTAATTACTGGTCATTATTCTGAAGTGGATGACTCATTTAGCCTGAAGGGATGGGAGGTGTTGTGACCCTCTGTATAATTCTACACATACATGTTTTTGCTCCTTAGAACCACAGAAATGTCTGTTTTCCTTTTGCATGTCTCGTTTCCTGGGGTCATATGAAGAGCATGGATTGGAGAGGGGAGTATGGAATGAGAAAAGGCATGTTGGGAACAAATTGGCATCGATCTGGGTGGCTCTTGGTGCACACCTGAGCTCTGCCCTTTCAGTTCTCACCTGAAAGGGCCTGCTTGGCTCCATCTTATGGCTCATTCTTAATGTCATTCCTGCTATTATTATTACTGTAATTAAGTATCTATTAGCCTACACTTCTGTAATGGTATTTCAGTTTAGGAAGCTGTTTAATGTCAGGAAAACAAGAAATTTCTGTGCTGTACCGTGTTGTGTCATGGTAAAATGTTAAAGTTAACGTTAAAACTAGTTCTGGTTTCACTGTCACCAGCTTCTCTTCCCTCAGTTCAAGCTGTGTGTCCTTTGCTGTGACATTCCATGTGTCCTGGTAGAGACCCACTGCAGAATCAGAGGCTTTGAATTTACCAGTCTGTATCAAGAGACAGCAGTTGGTCTCGTTGTATTGAGATCTAAATAAATTTGCATTGATCTCAATAAATGGGGATGTTTTGAACCTTGACTTTCTAATGCTCTGCAGTTGGGTGGTTTTTTTTCCCTGCTTTGTCAAGGAGGATGACTGTAGTAAGACCATGAGCTGATTACTCCCTGTATTAGATAATAATTTCTTAATGTGGGAGGGATATTAAGAAGAATAGATGTGAGTGCTCTTGGAAAACTCTTTATGGAATAAGGTTTAAGCACTGCTGTTAATAGGATGCACGTTGCCTTTCATGCTGAGTCAGATGGAGCTTGGCTGTATACCCAGGACAGAAATCAAGGAGGCCTTAGAGACACTTGCAAAACATATGGTGACTCTACTGTCTTTAAAATTTATCATTATTGCTGTGGTGCATTGGCGCCCCTGGATTTTTAGGTGGGCAGTAGTTGGAGTTTAATTAAAGACCAACCCTGTTTCCATCTAAGATACGTCTCTCTGAAGCACCTCGTTGTTTCCCCACATCATGTGTTTGTCTTATGATGTGCCAGTGGCAAATAATTATGAGTTTGACCTAAAGTTTAAAAACCTGCCTGTGTTTGAGTGTCCACGTGCAGTGGTAGAGGCTGCTGGGCAAAGGGGCTGGCTGGAGGACAAGTGGTGGTACAGGAGGGACATTGGGTACCCTCATGGATACCCAGCCTGAATCATCATTAGACATGAAATGTCTACCTGTTTTCAGTGAAAAGCTGATTTGATGGATGGATGTTTTTTTCCCCACCAGTGACATTTAAAAAAGAATCTGAAAGTTGTTTTTGGGGTGGCTCTTGAAGTTTGTTGAAGTTTCTTCAAGATGGCAAAATAGGGATTAGGAATTGGAGTCAGCCTTTTACAAGATAAGATCTTGCAAAAGTATTTTTTTTGTTCAGTTGGTGCTTTTTGGTTGCAAAAGCTTTCCTGGATTATGTAACTAAAGGCTGGACAAGATGCTGCAAGTCTAGTTTGTATTTTGTAGAATGCTCTGAAGGATAATTTGGGGGATGGTTGTGATAGGGTTAATAATAGTAGAAAGGATAGAAATAAGGTTTTGTTTTTTTTTTTTGTTTGTGTTTTTTTTGTTTTTTGGGTTCTGAATTTTGTTTTTGTCAACTTCTTAAAACATTAAGGTTGATTTGTGATAGTGTATTGTCAACAGTTTTGTTCTTCTGGTGTTGATTGGTCAAGTCTAGAACAACTCTCCTGTAGTTCCCAGCAGCTCTTCATAGAAACTTTCGCCCCACTGAAATATTCTTAAGATTCTTTCATTATGAAAGTCCTTAAGATAAAATTTATTTCTTTATTGTAATTTCCTCTGTGTTGACATTTGAATGTCGTTTTGCCCTACTGGCATTTCCCCATTTCAGCTTATTTTCTACCTCTGCATATTATGTATTATGTGATTTCTTGTTCAAGTGAATGGCAAGGTGATGTATGACACACTTGAGATGGTATTGAGCAGAGTATAGTTGGAAAATTGCAGTGATAATTTTCTTTTTACATCTCAAACTTACACACCATTGAGGGGAAAAAAAAAAGAAAAAGTGTCACAGCAACTCAAGAAAAAGCATAAGGGGAAACCTCGAAAAGTTACAGGGAAATTTCCATAACAGATACACAAGTAGTGCTGCTTTAATAATGGTTTCCTGTCATGAACTATTTTTATCATTTGCCTGCTCTCTGACGTGGCATTCTATTAAACATTTTTGAGAGCCATGTTTTAATCAGATTAAGCTCAAGGAAACCGATAGGTATCTGTTTGGCTCATGGCTTGTGCTTCTGTTTCTGATTTAGTCACAAGACTATTGTTGCTGGAATCTTTTAAACCCCATTTTGCTTCCACTCGCAGCCGGTGTGGGAGCCTGGAGGTTGTGTGCCAGGGATTTTCATGATATACACACAGGGCGCGTTATGGAATTATTCTGTAAATTAAAGAAGACTGATACAAACTGTGTCTTTTCCTCATGTGATTAAATAGCTAAAAATAACCACCTATTTTTAGTTTCAAGCGTTATAATGTTTCTTAGGAACAAACTCACCCAACAGTGTGCTAGGAAAGGCTGACCATGAATAATGCTGAATTCTGAGGTGCTTCTGGAAAACAAAAATACTTAGTAAAAGTGGAAAATCTTGTGTTAATTTTTATAGTGTGCGACGTTAATAATGCTTCCCATACAAGAAGTAAAACGAGAATAAAATATCAATGCATATATTCTTAACTTTCATATTTCCACGTTGTTCAGTCATTTTATTAAGTGAAAGCAGAAAACTTTCTAAGCAAAATTCTTATAGTCTCCAATACTGTGCACATCCTGCAAATTTAGGAAATTGCAAAAAGAACCTGTGCAACATAACATTTGGGATCGTGGTTGTGCTTGGATATTAGTGGATTCAGCACCTCATTCTGTGGCCTCAGCATCTTGGAGCATGGGGGTCGACCAGCAACCTGGCTTTTAAAAAAACTCAGTCTATCCATATTTTCCTAATTTCCAGAGGAAAAAAAAAAAAAAACACCACTCATGTATTAAATTTCTAATGACCTCTTTTGTCTGTTGCAAACACGGAGAGATTGTATTCAACAGCTTGGTTTGTATCATATCTTCCTGCAGTGTATTATTTATTTGCTTGACGTGCTCGAGAACTGCGAGCCTAAGAATTAATAAAGGTTATTAGTTACTTTCCATAATAAAATTAGCTGACCTTTAAATAAGAGCATTATACAGGGGCTCTCTAAGTGGAAAAATGACAGAATGCATTTTTATCCTGGTAGCCATTTCGATTACTAAATCTTACAGTCACAATATAGAAACTGTGTGTTTTGATTAAATGTTTCTCTTGACTGTGTATTTTCAGACAACAGTGAAATAAAGTGGAATTTTTGTATCCAGGGCAGAATTTAACCCCTTGGTAACAGTTTCGCCCACATCTGATATTTGGTTACATTTGAACAATACAGAAGTGGGGGGAGGGAAGAAGATACAACTTAATTTTCTAAAAACGAGTGTCCTTTGGAAGCGACAGCCCTGGGAGTTTGCTGTGGTTTTTAGGGAGTGTGATGATATGCAGATTCCTCGAGCAGCCTCTCTTGGGTCTCTACCAGGCAGACGTGATGTACGCCCTATAGCTGGTCACATGCAGCCCACTCTATCAGCCTGCTATTCTCCAGTCATCTGAATTTATCTATTTTTAAAGAGAGATTTGCTATAAAATCCAATATTGAAACACGAAGTGCGTGCGCCCACCTTTACTTTTTAAGTTTGGAACAGGATACACCTCATCTCCAAAGTAGCTGTTAAAGCCAACTTTTTGAATTTTGTTTCCTTTGTACTAAATAATGACAT